TGTTGCTGTTGCTATTGTTGCTGTTGTTGCTGCTGCTGTTGTAGCTCCTGTTATTGTTGCTGCTGTTGTCGTTTTCGTAACACACCACTAATATTGCCACTCTTTTATTTTTTAAAGAACCTTATTGAGAAACCAGAAGAGAAGAAACGCGAGACATCCGTGGCTCTCATCCAAAACAAGCTTCTAGCAGTAAGTAAAATATTCATCAAGAGTAAACCGACATACACAAGAAGAATGTTTTGCTTCCATCTTTTATTTGGCAAGTTATTCTCTCGTATTACTGCACATTGTTACAGGTTAAATATTTAAAATTATTTGTGATCCTATTTTCAGGTCTTATCGATACTGAACGGCAAGCCATGGGCAGATGAAGACATCCAGGTACTTGAAAACTTTTGTTGGGTTACTATATATTGTTATTGTCACTGTTCGACTTATAGATATGACCAAAACGTATTTATTTCCCAGGAGGATATTGAATACATCTACGAAAAGCTGAATGAAATTGTACAAGATTTAAGGTAAATTCATTCGGATGATATAAATCTACAATATAGACAGGTTATGCTCACTTACAGCAAGTACACGGTACGACATGCCGTAACATTAAAACGGCTTCCCATAGGGATGGTTCTCATATGAGTGAGGAACATACGGTACTGACTTACAGCAATTATACGGTACGACATGCCGTAACATTGAAATGGCTTCCCATAGGAATAATTCCCATAGGTACTGACTTACAGCACGTACACGATATGACATACCGTAACATTGAAATGGCTTCCCATAAGAATGGTTCTCGTATGAATGGGAAACATAAGGTACTGACTTACAGCACGTACACGGTACGACATGCCGTAACATTGAAATGGCTTTCCATTGGCTTCCATTAATTCATGCAATCACAACGCGTAGTTACGGCTACGGTAACATACGATACAGCTACTCGGTACGCCTACTAATTTGCCGTATCGTTTGCCACTAGTACGAAAATCGGTCTAAAGCTATTACTGTGTTACTGTGCGGACACAGGGACTAACCGGGACCACTTGAATAAAACTCACCAATCAGATAACAGTAAACTAGGCAGAAATTGAACTGATAACAGTGCTAGCCAATCAGATTATCACGTTCTCATGCTCTTATTATATCGAGGCGCTATCTGATTGGCTGATTTAAAGACACTGAAAAAAATGTCGCAATATGATTGGTTAATGATACTAGCATATCGAAATGGTCCCGGCTAGAGTATCTGCTTGGCAGTAACCGATTTCATTAATTACAAAACTTATGCTTCATCAACTATTTCGTTCCCAGTAATTTTGATGAGTACGCGGCTGAGCTTCGATCAGGGAGACTGGAGTGGAGTCCCGTGCACAAATCTGAAAAGTTCTGGGTAAGGATACATTTTCTTTTTTTTTTCTTCATACGTTTATTTATATATTTGTTTATCGCTGATGATTTTTCTTTTGCTGACGATAATATGGGTTAATGAGGAAATCAAAGTGATGGTGGTGATGGTGATGGTAATCAGTGATGATGCTGATGAAGATAGTGAAGTTGTTTATGATGATGTTCATAATTATGATGTTGATGTTGAAGATGATAGGAAGATGGTGGTGATGATGATGACTGATGATGATAATGATGATGGTGATTGACGATTGATAATGACGACGATGATGGTGATTGACGATTGATCATGATGATGATGACGATGATGATGGTGATTGACGATTGATCATGATGATGATGACGATGATGATGGTGATTGACGATTGATCATGATAATGATGATGATGGTGATTAACGATTGATCATGATAATGATGATGATGGTGATTAACGATTGATCATGACGATGATGATGTGATGATTGACGATTGATAAGGATGACGATGATGATGATGATGTGATGATTGACGATTGATGATGATGATGATAACAATGATTTTGATGATAATGGTGCAGATGATGTGACAGCAAGCCTAGTCATCCTCGTCGAATAGTCCTCAATTCCCACTAACCCCCCCCCTTCTAGAATACATGCACTGTTGACTTCTTATCATCCACTAACACAACATGGCCCTCGCGAGTAGCTTCAAGCCCAGCCACACCCGATACAACATCATGACCGACATCCCTCACGTACTCGCCCGATTCGCTAAATACAAAGATATGTTTGCTGTGATGATCAGAGACGAGAATCTCTCCCGTGCACGAGTCGTAGGCTATTCCGACCGGTCGAAAGGTCATTCCGTCCACTGAAATATTTTCGTGCAATCCGCTTTGATTATAAACTCGTATGCATCCATGTCTTGCATCTGTTACTAKGACGTTACCCTCGTCTGTTGAAGCGATGTGTGAACTGTAGATTTCTGATACATCTGTAGGGAAACCTAACTCCTCTCTACCAAAGTTACAAACGTATTCGCCCGCTTTACTGAACACATGCACGCATTTCATTCCGATATCCGATACCAGAATACGTCCGTCACTGTCAACATGGATTCCTGAAAAGTTCGACATCCTGTCTTGGTATCTTCCTGGTTTAGCGATGACTCGAGACTTGGTCTTTGATCCCTTTTCCAAGACATGAATGCGGTTTGATACAGAGTCGCACACATAGATTGTATCTTGAGAATCTACAGCTACACCTCGTGGTCTAATTGGAAGATCATCTTCATCATCATCGTAGGTGGTCAACTCTAAGGCCTCTATGAAAGTACCGTTGCAGGACCAGAGCACTATTCTACTGTTGTTAGTATCCGAGACTATGAACTGCCCGAGACTATTTATCGCAATGTCAGTAGGCTGATTAAGTCCTGCCTTCCTCGAGGCGCACCTACCGAAGTTCCAATAATTGAACGATGCGAATTCCTGATTATGTATTGGGTGTAGCCACCTATCTTCTGTCCGCACGAGGGGCCATTGTAAAATATCTGTCTTCGATGGTAGTCGCTTGTTTACTGCGCATGCGTGGATGTAGTGCCAAGCGGTTCGATGCACAGACGCGACGGAGCGAAGAATCCCCTCTCGTCCCTCGAAGTGAAACCGTTTCATAATATTAGAACTAAAACTTTTGCCGAAATGTACCCTGCAGGAGTTTGTAACCAGTGTCATACTGTTGAGCTCAGTTAATGCTTTTTTACATAAGGGGATAGAGATTTCTGGGTCCTCAAAATTCTCCAGTAAAATTGCTGCAATCTTGACCTTGTAGGCTAAAATTCGATCCTCGTCGCCCATGCCTTGGTTACTGACCGCTCGTGTAGCACTCAGCGAAGCTTGTTTGAAGTTCTCTTTTGCTTTGTCGATGGTTTTGCTGCTCTTTACGTTTTCTCCGTAGGTGTGTTGAACGTGCTGCTCGACGACTTTCATTAGCTGCTCGCCATTACGTGTCATGAAGTGTGCTCTCTTTAATGATTCCATCGCTTGTTTACATTCGTTCTCCTTTTCTCTTCTGCGCTCTCTCTTCTCTCTTTCCTCCTTGCTGTGGTTTATGTGATAATAAAGAAGTTCAATCCCATCGTTAAAGTAGGTGATTGAAGCAATGAGATCTTGTCGAACCAATCCCCGGAGCATCGATTTGATATCGTGCAGCTCACGGATAATCATTTCCCTGAAACGCAACTCTGTGATGTCGCCGTCTCGAAGGGAGTTCGCAGCTTCATCTTTGACTTTATCTAAAAAGCATTGGACTGTTATCTTCAAGATTTGCGCCAAAACAACCTCGGCCATCACGAAACACTATATTTCCTCTGTTTACCTCAAACGAAGATTTTTTATATCAATTATTTGTGATGTTTTTTTTTTTCATATCATGGCTGTTACGCGTGACCAATTTCAGGGTGTTGATCTCTCCTGAACAAAAGAATATCATTTGAATAATATTACACGATTTCTAGGAATTACCGTATCGTGTAATATTTATTTTTGGGTTTTGTCCTGACTTATTTCATAAAAAAACAACTAGCCTCCGCAGACGTTTTTGTGTCTGTCACGCAACGTTTCCCTTCGTAAATACCACAGAAAGCAAAAGATTATTAAAGTATTTATCTTGCCTCTGTGGACTATTCTTTTCACTGCCGATTTTAATCCTTGTAGTGCTATAAGTATAGAAATAAGAGATTTCAAAATGTAGTTTTGGACTCCCTGTGTTGAAAAACACCAGTTGAGACGCGTCTTGTTATGTGAAAGTTTCCTGTTTATGTCATGAAATCAATTTTTTTTACCATACATGAAACCTCTGCTAATTGTGTTTTATTAAAATGAAATAAAAATATGATTTCCACAAAGTGGCTCTTCATCCACTCAAATTCCAATGGGAATAGACCCTTTCACTGTAAACGTCACAAAACATTGAACAGAGGTTCTCCATCTACAGAAAAAGTTTGGTCTCGAAAATTTAACTCAGAATGGAAATATAACGAAAAACGTATCTCTTTCCCAGTCGCTTCTTAGTAATCTTGCCCCTAAGCAATATGGCGTCGGAAACCGTGAAAAGGTCTATTTAAAAGTTGATTTTTGCGAAGGGAGGTAAACCGGAGAACCCGGAAAACCCTCGAAGCACAAGAGAGAACCAACAAACAACTCTACTCACATACGACTGAGCCTAGTGGGACTCGAAGACCGCTACGCCATCCGAGCTTTCCAAGTAATAATATATAGTGGGCATAAATTTTAGTAAAATTCTCTGAAGTTTGGAGAAAAGCAGCTCTTCTTGTAGTATAACAGCACTGAAAAATACTGCTATTTTGAGAGGATAACTTTTTGTTAACTTTTTGTCAACAGAGAGAAAACGCTCATCGCTTGAACGAGAAAAACTACGAATTGCTAAAGTAAGTATTCAATGCGAAATTGTCGATTAGTTGTTGGTTTATTCGTCTTTTTTCTTTTTCTTTTTCTTGGAATTCTTTCGCTTAGCAGCAACGAAGATAAGAGATCTGTTAGAACGACTTCCGGTTGAAATGGCTTCCGGTGGGCACGGTTTATGTTATTTATAGAATGTCTGGCTTTCGTTCTTGTCTGTGCCTGTGTCTTATCAGGTCATTTATTATCGTAGGAAAAGCAGAATTTTTTTAAATGTTGGCCGCTAAATTTTTTAAATATCGAATTTCTAGCCTAAGTTTGTTCCTTTCAAAATCGTCTGTAATGCGAGGCCCACATGAAAATAAAAGAGAAATGGCACAAATAATATCGATTAAGTTCTTCTAGATTTTTCGGTAAGCCTTGCATCCAAGTTAGTCTTGAGAAAATGGTTTGCAAAAGTATGACAAAAAAATGCGAATTTTTCGCCAAATTTCATTAGAAAGAAAATGCAATTTATTCAACAAACACAAAAATCGAGTTGCATGTTGTTTGATTCAAGGGATTTTGATATAATAAAATATAAAAATAACTACTAAAGGAATCACACGACCAGGAGATGGTCTCTAACCCTATTAATCACAGATTTCTCACTCTGCACATGACCGGAAGTGAAAGTGCACTTCCGGTGTCTAGTCTTCCATTCTACCGTCTTTCTCAACCACTTTTTCTGAGATGGTAAACGTGGTTCATTGAGGTTTAGATTGGATACAAACATTTTACATGGTGTTGTTTGTACCCAAGCTAGACCACAATGCATCCATTTTATCCAAATAATTTTTTTTTTTTTTTGGTTCGGATTTTTAGATTTCATGGGAATTTTCTTGTTCTCTTTTCAGGATTCTTAATTACTTAATGGAGTCCTCAACAGATCCCACAACTCTTTGCATCGCTGCTCATGACATAGGGGAATATGTGAGACACTTTCCTCGAGGAAAGACGTATGTAAAACTGTTACTGTTTGTGTGTTTATTGATTTGTTATTTTATTTATTTATTTATTTTTATTTTATTTTTTTTATTTCTATTTTTATTTTTATTTTTCCAAAAACTGTTACTGTTACTATAAATATCGCAGGATATTTGTACTCGCTCCAGGCTTTCTCCAGCGTTATGTGTAATCTAACTTGAATAGTTCGATAATAATCGCCAATACAAGCTTATTTAGTAATATGAAAACAAAGCGATATTAGCAATATGTCATTCCCCACTTTGCAGCCCAGGCCAATTTGACCGTTTTACCATATATCATTAAAGTTGAGAGTTGTGTGTCTGGAATATATCCATGTAGTAAAGAGCGTCTATGTAAGACAAAATTTTATTTATTTATTTATTATTAATATCTATTTAGTGTTATTGAGTCTTTGGGCTGTAAAGTGAAGGTAATGAAGATGATGACCCACGATGACCCTAGTGTCAGGAAAGAAGCTTTGTTAGCAGTACAGAAGATCATGGTACACAACTGGTACGTATGGGGGCACATTATACAAGGGAGGGGGGGCGTATCCAGGACTTCTCATCAGGACCCGGGAAGGGGTTGGATTGGCATTGCAGTGCAGTGCATTGTGGGGCTGTTTTAGCGGACGTATTTGTCTATGAAAATGTTTGAATGCGTAATCGATGACGCGCTGAAATGTAAAAAAATATTGCACCCAAATAGACCTTATTCGCCTTGGTACAATGTTAACCCATTTCACACCATGTATCATTCCCTTGAGAATCTTTGCTCAAGTCGTATTCATATTCATGTGTTTTCTCATGTGCCACCATTAAAAAAAATATATTAAAAAATTTTAGGGAATGACACATGGTCTGAAATACGAAAACATTGCACTACGACGAATGAGGTATATGGAAAGAAAATTTCGTACGAATTCTTTATTAAGATAGATTTAAGTTTTAACTTTTTTTTATTTTTCTTATTCTGATTCTAGCTTCTACTTTAAATAGTATTTTAAGCATCAACTTTATCTTTTTAGGGAATATCTTGGTAAACAGCTCAAGGATGTATAATGAAGATTTTAAATCAAACTATTCCAAATGAATTCAATATTATAATACTAGTAAATGATCAGCGGATCGGTATGGTTGAAGGTAGAATGATTTTTTCAGTGCTTCCCAATCATCTCGAGGAATCTTACATTATGCGGTCGCGACAAAATATGATTTTTGCTAACATAAATCAAAGGGTTTCCTTGTGATTGTCGCAAATCACGAAGTTTTTATGTTTAAGCTATTGGAAAATAAGATGAATTTGAAAATATGAAATGTGAAAATAATGTGTGAATCATAGATGTTTCCCTTTCTATAAACAACTTATGTGAAAAAACACGAAATATACCTTAGATGAAGCAGTTTGGATACAAATAACCGTTTGTCATGAGTAATTTAGTATCCAGTGGAAAATTCAATCAACTTGAGTTTTTGAATAGACTAGGAATATTGTCAATTGATGGTTTTCACGGCGGCCATGTTGGAGGAACTTAACAAAAGAATTGCCAATGAATTCTTCTGCTATATCCTCCAACATGGCCGCCGTGTCTTTTGTTATTTAATTCTCTTGGGAATGGTTGAAAACCATCAATACTATAGACCCCTTGCACGCGACACCAAAGCAGCTCAATTTGGAGGACATAACAATAGGTTTCCAATTCTCAGTGAGCTACATTCCGACGTACTGCAAGGGTTCTATAGAACTGTTGCAGCATATTCCATATAGAGCTCATTTCGAAGGCAAAACAGAGAGTTTAAGTATCTCGTTTACAGAGACGAAAAACGAAAAATCCTTTAGAATAAGTAAAAAAAAGGTAGAAAAAAAATGCTAGATAAGGGCTAGATAAATAAAAGAACACTTATCTTGGGGAAAAGGTTTGCAAAAGGTGGTTTTCATCGCTTCCCTTCATTTCACTTTAGGTCATTTTTCCGGAGTTCAGGAAGAAAAAACGTGATTCTCAATATCATTTTTATCTCCTGAGAATTAAAATTCATCAGATCGTCCTCCAAAATGAGCTTCTCTGGTAATTGCTCGGCAAGTGTTTTTTTCAGTCGATTTTTTGGCTACATTTATTTGTTTAGGGTTCCTTCTGGATTGGGCTTGCTAATCATGTGATTAACTAATGTATCTCAGTATCGTACGACAGGGATAGAAGACTGACCGTTGCAATGGTAGAACACGGGTGCTTACCATTTACCAGGGAAAACAAGAAATCCCGTTTGGAAAATAAATAATAAGCATTATTCCAATCGGAAAGTTCCAGAAAAGTCGGTTCTTCGATTGAGGTAATCCACTTTTCCCGCTCTTTTCGGTTCTTCCGGTAGACGCGTGTACCATTTTTCGTAAGGCAAAGTTTCCCGCTCTTTTCTTAAAATTAGGGAATGAATTTCCAACCAGATGGAARGGTTAAAATAGTAAGCACCCCACGTTTCTACTTTCTGCGCAACGTGTACGACTCCCCAAAGGGGTAGTCTCGTTCCAAGCGTCGTAGCATGCAAAGTCCCCTCGTTTGTCCTCGCCTTTAGACACGGGAAGGTAGAGTGAACCTACTGTCGGGGCTAGCATGTTTGGTGTTCTCTCTGGGGAAGCAAACGAGACTTGTCCCTAGCAACAGGTTCACTGCTATCTTCATATCTTCATGTCAAGGCCTCTCAGAATTTTTTAGGTATGATTTTAGTGTAATAACTATTGGGATATTTTTGTGGTTTTGCTGAATTTATAAATAACAATTATTGCGATAGCTACATTAATCATATTCCAATATCATTGATACTATTAATCATTGGTAATAAAATATTTGCTGGTTAAATAGCATATGTTTACCATTATTATATTATTTTTATATTATATATTATATTATTATTTCTCGTTTTCTACGTGGGCATTAACACCTGAAGGTGGGAGAGGATTATATTTGCTTCACGTCCGTTTGATTTGTTTAGTAATCAAGTGTGGTGTACCGGAAATACACTCGCCTCTTTACCTCAGGGGCCTCGAGTTCGATTCCTGGACTTGTTATCACAAGTGAGTAGAGTTTGTTAGGTCTTTTCCTTGATTCGAGAGTGTTTCTCGGGGTTCTCCATGGTTCCTCCTCAGACGATAGCGAACCAATCACCGTCGCAGTAGTTTTCCCAACGGAATTTAAAATCTTGTCCCACGAACAAACACACAGCATCTGTTTTAAAAAGTACTTCGAGGATTACGAGGCAATTTTTTATTCTGTCTTCACAAGACAAACAGTTTAAACAATTTATAAGGGCAATTTTCCTGCGATCAGAATTTTCAATTCTGAGATATTCTAGCTAATTTGTGTTGAGCTTGTGGGACATGGCAACAGTAACTAAGGGTAGTCGGAGTCATGAATCTCGATTTGATGACAAAAGACTAATCTCTAACAACACGGTCATCATGTAGAGGGACACTTAGATAACTGTAAATGCTCTAGGTGTATTCTTGGTTATCTGAGGACAATCAAGTTGGTGCGTATTTTCCTTATACTCCTCATTCACGTGCCGTTCCAATGCGGGCGACCATGGGCTCCCATCCTCACTCGTTTCTGCTACAGTAGACAACTCAAAGGTAACCTGCGCCCCGGGAGACGTGCGTGACCTCTTTCTCCCATTAGATGTCACGTTATTTGTTGAATCCTTCACGGCGTCGCGCAAGGAATCATCCGACGCTAACCCGTGGTTTGAGAAGGATATTACTCGAGCTCCTTTCTTTTCGTTGTTCACATTGAGGAAACGTGACGGTTGTGGATTGTCGTTCAGGTCTGGCGATAAGTCGTCTGTGACGGACGTTCTCGCGGAGACGTTGTGTGGCTCGGGCGTTGTGGATGTCTGTGCTTCGTCGTTAGGATCACTATTCGAGAGGACGTTTCGTTCAGGGTGAAGCAGTATGATATAAAGTTTGGGGAGAAAAAGACAACCCATGCAGGAGAAAGCGGTGATAAAAAAGGTGAACGTCACGACGAGGATTCGACTTATTCCTGTGACATAACGATAGGTGGGGATGAACGCGATGAGAATAATACCAAGCAGGATTGTAGTGAAACTGATGAACTTGGCCTCGTTGAAATTCTCTGGCTGATTTCTTTCCTTGAAGGATATGAATGTTGCAATGATAAGAACAGCACATGGGAATGCTATGGCGAGTATACGGGAGATAGGAAAAAATTGTTTACATTCCAGTAGGCGTGTGCCATCCTCTTGGTTCAAGAAATGAACCACTGAAGGACTGGCGCATTGTCGTACTGTTATCAGAATCAACTGCAATACAACTAGACAACCCACCAACAAAACCTGACTCCAGTCTTGGCGCATGCCTTGTAGACGGGTCACTGCTGACCGAATCTTTTTATTGACGGCTCGCGTTTTAGAAAACAAGAATGCAGGATACAGCATGATAAGTAGTTCATGTAGAGATTCCACACCACTGCAAAGTTTGTTCGACGGCTTTCTAACGATAAACATAATCGTGACCATGAACGACAAATACAATATTGTAAAGAACAGTACAGTATGGAAGAGTGTTGAGCCAATCACGACGGGCGTGCTGCGATACCTTATGAATATGCCAATGATAATCATGTTTATAAGAACCCCTATCATGCTGATTGTGAGAATAGATATTGCTTCAGGTGTCGAGAGGTTAAGGTGAACTATAGCTCTTACTAAACAGGCTGTCCTTTCCTCGTTAGCATAGTGTGTGTCGTTACATTTCGTGCAAGACAACGCCCCAGCTACAGAACTATACGACCCTTTCTCACATTTCTGGCAATTCCAACAGCATTCTGATTGGCCAACGACTCTCTCACCCGGCTTGCAAACGCGAAAGCAGTTGGACAGGGGTCGATTCCCTCCGCTCCACTTAATCAAAGAAGTATTGATTTCAAAGTTCGGTTTTTGGTTCGTTAGCTGCGACCAAAAATAAAATCCCACATCAACATATCCAACGCCATTTCCCTGTACCTGCACATTTCTGATTGTATATCCACTAAATGTTCTATCTCCATTAACGTTGAATTCTACGCTAGCGTGGTCTGTACCTTGGAAACTTGTATTCTTTATATACTGTAATAATTCTTGGGGGCTAAAGTCGTTTAGGTGCCGGCAACCAACTCCTTGTGCGCATGACAGCATTGTCATTAACGCATGCGCTGTGGCATTTACAGCGTCGATGACATTAGCGATTGCTTCAGTGTTGATAGTATGTCCTGATGGTAAGGTCTCTGTAGGACTACACGTCCTCTTGCCGTTGCTATGGTTACTAGAAGTACAGTCTAGTACCTGCTCCATGTACGCTATGAACCATGGGATATGTTTAACATCTCGTATCTGCAAGTTATTTATGTACTCAATAAACCTGTTTACTTTCTTTGAACGAATTGAAAACGTGAAAACTCCCTCGAGCATAGATTTACTGACATTAAACTTGGTTACCGTTGAGCTCCAAGCGTCGCTTGTGATCCACGTACGATTAGTGATGTTGAGTTTGTGGGCAGTCTGTAGCAGAAGCTCTCCCTGTTCGGCATAGCTAAAAACAATAACTACCTTGGCTCTTTCCGAGTTCTTAAACGTGACTAAAGCGTTATAAATATATTCTTTGGCCATATCAGAATTAAAAGGAATGTATTCATCGTGTGCAATGCAAACATTTAAACTCATTGCCGTCTTCTTAAACGTCGCTGCGCCCATTTTACCATAATCATCATCACTAGCGATAAGAAACACAAAGTTCCACTCAAAATGTCGCACAAAGTCAGCCATGGCTTTGGCTTGGTACTCGTCTGAAGGAACTGTTCTTAAGAATGACTTGTAACGCGTTTTATCGCTTAATATTCGGCTTGTTGCAGCGTAGCTTATTTGGGGAATGTCATATAGTCCAAGAAGGCTTGCAATTGGGATAGCAATCCATGATAAAGCCGGTCCAATCACTGCTGTTATCTTACCGTAACTCTTTAAGCCATCTCCGCTGTGGCAGTAATCACTCTGTGGATAACAGACCGAATTTGGTCGGTATTTTGCGACAATTTCGATAGCGTTGCTCATGGCGGATGGTATATTATAGCAAGTGTTATCGATCTTGTAACCCAGTGTGTTATTGGGAAGAAAGGAGGACTGATTGTTTATCGATTCCACGGCATAAACCATCGCCATTGACCACATAATCCCATCCTTATAAATTTTGGTGCATGTGTCTTGAGTATGGTCTTTGTACGTTATCGGGAATAAACCTTGCAACAAGATGTCGCCGGTTTTAAATAAACTTGTCTTGAAGTCGAAGATTTGACTGCATTTTGAAGGGGAAGGCATAACAGAAATCAAAGCAAAAAGGATAAATGAATTCATGATGAACGGCAAAAACAAATTATAGACAAAGCAGGACAATAAACTCCTTTTTGCTGTAGAAGGAATTGCTGTTCTTTTTGCACGCAGCTAAGTGACTTTCTCCTGAATTCTTTGCCAAGTCGAATCAAGATAAGCGGCGCAGCTGCTCAAAATTGTAATTATGTAAAATAAACACATTTTACATATTGTTTGTCTCTGAAAACAAAAACTCTGTCAGAAAAGTGAGAAAATACTAAACCTGTGTTTATAAAAGAAAATTATAACCGACACTTTAGCTGAAAGATAACGAGCCAAAATCTTGTCTCACAATGTTTTTTATTCGGGCTTCTGGCAAAATCTCTATAACTCGTTCAATTTACTTGTTTTCACATTTTTAAAACTATTCCCATGGTAACTTGGTCAGAGATTATTATTCTTCAGATTAAAATTCAGATTTATACTGTTTTCTACTGTGCTTAATCTGAATGCCAGATAAAGTTATGAAGCAAATCTTTTCCAAATAACTTCTCGTTCGTAAGTCAAAACGAGTCTGAAATATTAGAGTGAAAACCTAATTGAACTAGAAACAGATTCAGAAAAATTCAAAGCTCTAAAATACAATGAATAATTCTAAACGTCTCAAGATATGGAGATATTGTAAAACTAGGAAAGCCAGGTTGAGGGATATATCATAATTGAGGGATATATAACATAAGTGTTTATTTGTATACTTTAAATGATAATTCGCTACAATTTCTTGTCGAAACAAAATCTAGAATCCGACGAAGGACTAGCTTCCGAAACGTCAGTAAGTTTTTTCATCTTTTCACGGTGTATAATTTACCTTTTCGGCATCATCACTGAAACAAAATCCAGTAAACTTCTTCAAAATACTAAAATATAATGAAATAATTATAAATTCTCAAGATATAGAAGAAGAAAAAGTTGAGCGGAGGATTGATAACATTGAAATTAGAACGCTTATTTGAATACTTTTAGTGATAATTCGTTTGACTACACTTTCGTGTCAAACTACGCCGAAATCCGCCATTTTCCTTTTCAAAACATCGTTTCCTTCGCAACAGCATTTTTTATTTCCCACGTATATTTAACTTTCTAACTGACTTTTCTAATTCTTCTTATCAAGATGATTGTGTTTACATTTGCTGTCAATTTTATGATAATAATTATTCAGTTGGCTTGAGTAAACATTAAAAATTTTATGAAATATTTAGCGTTTTTCCCCTTCGTTCTGAATACACCCTGTCATCCTGTTATCGTGTCAACGTCAACTTTTTCAAGACAACCACTCTTTTAGTTTTTCATATGCATTTATCATTAAACTATCACTAAAATTAGACTTGTATTTGATGTTGTCATAAACTTTATACAGCAGTGCGCCGGCTCACGAGAAAGTGTTTCACCTGGTGGATAGCGACAGATAAATCTTATCCAGTGGATAAATTTATTGGATAACAGCATCCACTGGATAAAGACTTATCCGCTGGATAGAGCTATCGGACCTTCGTAAAACCGGGCCCAGGTTTCAACAGGCTTCTTGAATAATGATTTTTCACGAAAAAGAGAATAAATGTTTCTTGGCTGTTTTAGCCTCTATTTATCCATTGTTTATAAATATTTTATGATTTAAATGATTATGAAAATTTGAGCTATCTAGCCGCGCACACTGATCACGATAAGTTTAATCGGTAGAGAGACGTCAATATAAACCCACATCACCTGCTCAAAATTACCTCACCTTGCGATTTCGCGACTACACGGCCAATATGGGATATATTTCCTCTCAACTAGCTTCCAATATTAACCCGTATTATCTGTAACTAACTGTAGAGTAATTAACTATAGAGGTACAGTACACTTGTCGGGCTCAATCTCTGGATTTGCCCGTCACGAGTGAATACAGTGTGTTGGTTCCCCGCCTCGATTCAAAGGTTCTTCTCCGGGTTCTCTATAGTTTCCTTCCTCTGCAAAGCTTAACAAGATAAACTCCATGATTGGAAAGATTGGTTTCTCTCTCTTATTCGAAACGAAATATATAAAATATAACTCACTTTTTTTATTATTATTATTCTGTGTAGCTTGACCAAAACATCTGGATATCATTTAAAATTATATTATAAGACAGACAGAATAATCGTTTTTTTTTTTTACATTTTATTATAGTTTTCTCTTAAATCTATGAATTATATATTGATAATGCTATAAAAACTGAATTAATTCCTATGGCCGCAATAGAATAGTAATTAATATCTCAAGTATAAATAATATTATTTTCATATCATAAATTGTATTGACAGCACTGTCGTTTGCAAGTAAATTTACGATATTAATCAATAAAAGATATATACGCAGTCATTCCGTCATCGAAATTGTATTAAGAAGTAGTATTATATCTCAACCTGGCGCGCTAGCAGTGTAATCAAAACCGTTTTGGAAGAGATCTTGAACGATTAATTCACCCGCGAGCAATTAGTTTTAAAAGAGAAGTTGACTATAAGAATAATACATTGAAGTGAGCGATAGTGTCTAGTGGGAGACAACGTTTTTATTTTTGCTAAAGTATTGAATAACCGCCTCTTTTCAGACAAAACAAGTTCTCTTATTTCTATAACTGAAATACAGCTCCAAATGTCTCATGTATTGATATCCAGACCACAAAAATTGAAGGTAAGCAGTGTTTTTATTTAATTCAAAAGGGTACTTTAGAAACTCGAGCAATAAGTTATAATTATGTGCGTTTTCAAAGGGTCCCGAAGGATCTATAGCCTTATCCTAAACATACAGACTAAAAATAAATAAAAAATAAAAAATCGAAATAAAAGTTTAGTAAGTATTACTTGAAATTCAAAACGTTATTCGTAATTTAAATCTCTTCTTATAGATGCCAAAGGTCCCAAATGTTAGTATTCTACACTTATTTAAAAATGTTTTTCCCTCCTATGCGAACTGGTATGAATATTAACATAAAGATCAGGAAAAACGTACTGACAATTAGCGACTTTTGCAAGACTAACGATGACTTAACCATTGTAGACGATCCTAGGGGATTATAAATTATTCTATTTTCTCATTCAACGAAAATCCCATTTAAAATATAGCAGTTCGTGTTTCGCACTCATCATTTATTTTAAAGTTCTTCACCACTTGTATTTCCTTTTCACCGCTCAAAATACTCAAAACTATATAATCGTCGTTTTTCCGCTAATACAAACGTCACGAACTAAGTTCTCATCTCGAATAATATTGCTGCGCGCTTGTCGCCATGCACATTTCACTCTAGCTCGATGCTGTTCGTTCTAAGTTTTTAAAAACCATTAATATTTACAGACCGCCAATTTCTAATCATTTTGCAATGTTTAATGAAACTGCTGCTTTGAAGCTGTTTAAAGCCAAGAGCACTTTTAGAAGAGCTTTCTGTTTCCGTTTTCTATCTGTCTGTCTGTCTCCCGGCATTTTGTACCGGTTTTCTCGTAGTTTAATTCTTAGACTAAATATCGTTTTTTTGTTTTTGTTTTTTGTTTTTGTTTTTTTGTAGAAAACGTTTTGAAAGTCGAGTTCTTCACGTCTTCCCGGTACAGCTTGTCATTTTGGGGGGAAAAATTATAGTTTTCGTTATTTATTTTAATTCTTGTTTTTGAAAAACTCTTAAAGCCAGGGAAGCTTATTGCTTTAATCTCTTAAAGAATATCGGGATTAACTCAAAATATAGCAAGAAAAAAGCTTCCTCTATTGTTTTTTCTTTCAGTCAGCTAGGGAGATCGATGGTTGCTCGGTTGCATTTTCTCGGCCAAAACTGTTTTAATGATCGAGTAGGAGTAACTTACCTAACCTATTATTATTATCATTATTATTATTATTATTATTATTATTATTATTATTAGTGCTAATAACTATTTTTCAAAATGAGTTTAGCGATGAAATTAAATTAGACCGTGTATATTAAAAATAATAATAAATAAATAAATAATAAAATACATAGATAAATAAAATAAATAAAATTAAAATTAAAAAAACTAAAAGAATTTCAATAAAAGGACTATTCGTGGTAGTTCTCTTCGAGACTCTCAAATAACTGTAAACAATTAAAAAAATAATTAACACACTTAATTATTACTTATTTTTTAAGAAGAGCAGAATTTTCAGTGAAAAAATCTCACTGAATAAAGCTGCTTCCCCCCCGAAACGTCAAAGATATGTGTTTGTCAACCTCGGTCCATCCGCGCATTCTAGCCAAGGGTCGCTAACGATTTTTTTATTTTTATTGACGTATTATTGTTTTTTGTACTTATTGTACCTATTTTCCTCTGTGTATAAATCCAGCCTTATTACATTTGACTTGATAATGACGTTAACAAGAACCTTCTATTCTTTTGATTGACTACTTCGGGTTGCTGATTTTTCTGAAGCCGGAAGTAGACTAAATATATCATAAGTAAATGGTCAAAATAACTCCTAAGTCTTGAGGGGACAAAAAATGATAAAGCTACGAGACAGTTTCATCTGATGATATATTTCAAAGGATTTAATTTAATTAGCTTCTATGTCGTTAATTAAAATGAATTTTTGCTAGAGGGTTTTTTCTCAGTGATATTCCATTCAAGATACAAGCTATATAATCGGTTATCGGTATGTATTTACGTGTTCTTCTGCAATTCTGTTGTATAGTAAACAAAGTTTTTCAAGCTATAAGGAAGTCTATTTACCCCTGGCTACAAAGTAAATCAGTTTTAGCTCGAAGCTTTTCCATCTTCTTCCGTCCAATTGCATTTGGTTCAAAAATATCCAACGTTTGCCTGGAGCTAACATTAGGCAGTTAAGATTTTCGTTTTTCCTTCCCGCAAACGGCAAACGTGACCACGTGACCACGTTTCCCTACATTTCACGTTACCTTTTGCAAACTTTCTCAACAAAGACAAGTATTCTGTTGTTTATCTACTACTTGGAGATTTTTGCGATTCCTTTTCACTATTTTTAACGTTTTTTGACGTTTCAAATTGGCTTAACTTAACGAGAAATTAATCAGCTTTATCTTTAGCACAACTTTTTTTCCGCAGCTTAAATTAATACTAAAAATCGCCACGTGACTCTTCCTTATCGTTGCCAGAAATTACATCTCATAACAACGGAAAATTTCATTGAATTTAGTAGGCTTTTTCACTACTATGGAACGCTATATGTGAGCGAGCCCACGAACGAACGCGTGCTCAAAAACCGCTGAAATACCATAGCAACATTCAAATTTTACTAGGAAACAAAACGTTTTGAACTTCAAGAATACAAATTAAACATTCGGGTTTCCAAAACCATGGGCTATAGTCCATGCTTTTTGGCCAAAAACAATGCTTTATTAGTAAAAGGTCCAAAATGGGTCATTTTTGGCCAAAAAGCATGGACTATAGCCCATGGTTTTGATCGATTTTGGCCGTTTTTCACACCTTTTTCAAAATCGTACTTCATTCATTAAACTTTCAAAATGGCTCATTTTTGTCCAAAAGGAATGGACTATAGCCCATGGTTTTGATCGATTTTGGTTGTTTTTCACACCTTTTTCAAATTTATACTTTATTCATAAAACTTCCAAAATGAGGCATTTTTGACCAAAAAGCATGGACTATAGCCCATGGTTTTGATCGATTTTGGGTGTTTTTCACACCTTTTAGAAAAGAATGAAAAAATCTTGAAACTTGAAAAATGGGTGTTTTTGACCAAAAAGCATGGACTATAGCCCATGGTTTGGATCGATTTTGGGTGTTTTTCACACCTTTTTCAAAATTATACTTTATTCATAAAGCATCAAAAATGGGTCATTTTTGGCCAAAAAGCATGGACTATAGCCCATGGTTTTGATCGATTTTGGGTGTTTTTCACATCTTTTTGAAAATTATACTTTATTCGTAAAACTTCCAAAATGAGGCATTTTTGGCCTAAAAGCATGGACTATAGCCCATGGTTTTGCTCGGTTTTGTAGATATCATATTTTTGAAGATATAATAAGAAATTCAAAAAACTTCAAAAGTGGGTCTTATAGACGTCAATAGACGATAAACGATGGTGATTTTTTGTTATTCCAGAATGATGAAATAGTACTTTGCAGCAGACAGTGTTATGCTGTGTGCGGTGTTATGCTGTGTTGTACTCTGCTGTGTTTTGTACGCTAGTGCAGCTTTCGCATGACTGTGTAAAACTCGGACATAATACCGTGACTGTGTTGTTTTCTATAATTTTGATTGGGGATGTTTTTGTATCGAACATTGTGTGTCGTGCAGTGTTCGGGTTCTTTGGACGAATGGAGAGCAAATTCTCCTTCAATGAGATTGGTCTGACGTATATATGCTTGCCGTGACACGACCGTGTTCGTGCCGTGAGCTTTTCASAGATACGAAAATTGCGCTATGTTGTACTGTGCAGTGCTATACTCTGCTATGCTCTGCTGTTTTCTGCTCTGCTTTTCTTCATGTTTTTATATTCTTCATTGCTCTCCTCTCTCTTTCGCACTGACACTAACCATTTAATCTCATTTTAAGGAAAAAAGATAACGTATTGCTTTGTTTCATGTATATCGGCTTTTCTTGCTATAATTGATTACAGCGACAATACACGGTATCTTGGCCTGCTTCGATAAGAGCTCTCCCTCTTACAGCCTACCGACTGAATTGTTCTCTAAAAAGAGCTCTTCAGAAAATTAGCACTTAATAGCAGTTTTCCTCTGTAATATTTGTGGTAGTATTGTTCTTCTTAAGTTTCCCTTGAAAGTGTGAGCAACAATATAGAATCTCTCACATCGAATATGAACTGGAATAAACTCAAAGTCTTTACGCCGGCTTTTAGTAGTAGCCAGTGAATGCTATATTATTTGTTTTCATTCTAGGCGCGTTTTTCTAGACTTGCGATGATTTTAGATAATTGTAACCATAGCTAGTAAAGGAGGAACCAACTATGTTGTAACTTACTAAACAAATTTACATTTTATGAGATTTCTCCGGTCTATTTTCGCATAGTTGAATCGATCATAATACAAACATGAGCTTTTTTAACTCCAAAATCACACACGCTCATCTAAACATTTCTTGAGAAATATTCAGTCGTTTTTTGTTAGGATTTTCGTAACTTGCAGTTTAAAACAGTCTTCGAAAACATTATTCAGGTTTTAGTATTGTTTTTAACGTTCCAAAAATAAATAAATAAATAAAAAATTTAAAAAAATGAAAAATAAAAAATAAAATTCATTACAGAGTGTTCATATAAAAACATTTTAAAAATCCTTATATCAATCCTCATAAATGACAAATTTTGACATACGAGTTAAATAACAAGAGTCATCTGAGATGGAAGACTTTTCTGAATCAATATTTTAAAAGTCAATATTCTGAAGTCCGAGAAAACAAATTGCCATGACTGTCGGATCAAGGGCTGGATATCATTTCGCTAGCTGACATTTCATGAGTTTAGCTGCTCATAAAACGGGAAAATCTTAATCGGTGTCATTAATGCAATCTGYTCCAAACCGTTGTTTGGAAATCATTAACAATTTTTGTGACAATTCTCTCCCGTCATCTCCCTTCTGAGTCTCACCAATGTTGATATTCGCGAATTTTCTGAATAAGATTCTGAATGATATACAGAATAGACTCAGTTAAATGCGACGTTTCTCCCAGTAATGAAGTGAGCTTCGTTTATAATCGATATTAGCTGACTTTACATTTCAGCTGCCAACCAAAACAAGTATTTTAGTTTCTAGCCATTTCAAACTCGCGATTGAGACGTATGAACAGGATTATTGGCAATGGTAAGTTACTGAGTACTGTCTCGTCCAAAATAAACTTATTTTTATAAACTTACTTATATAATCCTATATGAAAAAGGATTTTTTCAAAGATAGATTCGTAAAAAATATTATCTATTATCTCTTTAAAAGCCAGTAAAACGTTGAACGTAAAGTAAATGTTTTAGTTCCAAATTTTATCAGATATTTAAAAATTTTTTAATTTAATTTTTGTAAAATTGAAAAAGGGTATTTTTTTATCAATATCTGATCATGTATCAACAATTTATCGTGAAACTAAATCACCCATTTTTGACATGATTTTCCACTTTCATTGTTTATTACGGCGTTCTTCTCCATTTGTTTGTTTGTTTTAAATGTTCCTTTAAACCTTTCTGAACCCTTGTTCTCTTAGCAATATCCTTGAAGATATATCAAGGAGAATGCTAAAAGAACGTAAATTATAACTATTACTGAGAATAACAAAACTGATCTCAGAGAAAAAGTCAAAGAAAAATAGTAAAAAAATTTTAAACCGGCAAAAAATCTCTTGGTATGGTTTTTGTTTATTCCGTTAGATGGCTAACTTATACTGATTCTGAATATTGCAATAGCTATTTTCAGTCGAATTAAACACCTACTAACGTATGTCAGTTGTGAGAGAGTAGACAGATGGGTCTCTAAATCGAGCGATAATCGTATTTTTACTCAATTGTTTATTCTATTAATGCTATATTGTTTCAAACCACTTAGGCGTCTTTAAGATTTCTACTGATTTTTTCCACAAAAATTGGGAAACCTCGAAGCCTATGCCAAAATTTCCCCACTAGGGGTGTGAAGGCAATGACTTGGCAAATGTTCAGCTCTTGACTAACGAAAAAGCTTTTAGCGATTTTCCTTATCTGTCGAAAATAAGAGCAAGCAGCTGCTAAAGTTGACATAAAACTCAGTTCGATCGTTTAACTTGTTTGTTTGACTTTATGTCTTCTTAATATTCTTTTTCTGTTTCGACATGTTTTAAGATCGCAAAATGTCTCATGATATTTGAAGATTTTGTTATTTGAAGATGTTATCTGTTGAAGTTTATTATTTTCTATAGATTCATGTTATCATATTTAGATCCGAGCAAAATATAGCAAAACATGCTTTTTTACTTTTTCATTTCTCTCTCCTATCGACCCTTTTGTGTTGTTGTGTTGTGTCGTGTCGTGTTGTGTTGTGTGCATGTCGTGCTGTGCTGTGCTGTGCTGTGCTGTGCTGTGCTGTGCTGTGCTGTGCTGTGCTGTGCTGTGCTGTGCTGTGCTGTGCTGTGCTGTGCGGTGTGCAGATATGAAGCATTTGGAGATTGGCAGAACAATCGAGAAGTGTTCCGCTACGCGTCGTGCTTCYCCTAACACTTCTTTGTGTTCTGNGTGCTGTGCTGTGCTGTGCTGTGCTGTGCTGTGCTGTGCTGTGCTGTGCTGTGCTATTGTTCTTATCTTCCCTTTTCTTTCTTCTTATCTACCTTCCACAACACATCCTTTCAATTGTATAAGAACATGCGTAATAGGTAAATTACCATTACCTATTACGCAAGTTCTTATACGATTTCCAAGYCAATCCCACACGGCTTACARCCTCATCTATCCTTCCAATTGATTTGTCAACTATTATATTCTTTCTTTCTTTCCCCCGAGCGTTGTATCTGCACCTACTAACTGATAACAACACAGACTCAAATGTCCCCAGGGCCTTACCATCATATCTGCAAAACTTCAGAACTCTCCACGCGACAAAGTTCGATCCATATTATACCATGTGATTGACAGACTTCATATTATCTCCAATTCATTAAGGTTTTCTCTACATAATACGAAAATTAATTATAAGGTATATCAGAACAGTGAACTCGTTAATTTGATAATTTCATAATACTGACCTCTGTGAAAACAACTGCAAGAGAAATGTTATTGCCTGTTGCTGAATACTTATAAAGTCGGTATACACGCTACAAAATATATATTCTGTACTTTTATATATCTGTATGTGAAATATATATGAAATATATGTATTTGTACTGCGGTTGTAATGTGTCAARTTGAGCTGATCCTCGCAGTATGTGAACCCACTTATGCAGCTGCAAAATGAAAGACTCAGAAAAAATTTTGAGTCTTGAACAGGATTTGATTTGATTTTATATATCTACACAAGAAATATATTTTCCAGCCAGCTTTTTCTTTTTCTTTTACCGCGGCGTTTAAATTAGATATTCCTTTTAGACATATGTAATATTTTTCTCGCTGTTTTCCGAGTTTAGTTCCTGTCCTTGTTGGTACCACTCGAGGCATACCCACCACTAAGAAACCGCGTTTGACAAATGATAAAACAACGTATTGATAGTCCTAATACTCTCCCGTTAAGCTCATAGTTTTGACTTCTTCATTTGTATACCCAATTGTGTGAGCAATGAAGGTTTTTTGAAAAGAATTAATGTACGTTTTGGCCAAAAAAAGAAAGATATTTTGTTTTCATTGGCGAATGAAGTGAATGAAATCGTGCGAATCACCTGTCTTTTCAAAGCTCTTCGTGTCACGTGCCCAGCTCAATGTAAACACAGATACGTCCTATACTACTCATTCTCACATCAAACAAACACAAAATCTTTCTTATTTGATCTTTTTTACCCAACTCTAGGTACAGCTTCCACTAACATAATGGGATCCCCGAACAAGTAGAAAGCACACCAGCTGACTTTGACATCTTTTTTCAAAGATCTAGAAAAGCGCTTATTAAAGAAGCAGGTTCATTTCAAATATTGAAATTGGATTTCCCTCGCAAAAAAATCTTGGTAATCTTTGGATTATGAAGTTCATCATTGCTTTACTGCTAATCACGAGATTTTACAGTCGTGCTTGGGGTCAAGAAGCTTTCGATGTTCAGAATCACGAAGGAAACTCCCCTCGCCCAGAAAGGATTTCAAACTTGGACGGCGATTACATCATCGGGGGTTTGTTCCCTGTACGACTTAGCGAGAAAGATTTCGACAAATGTTCTCAAGGTAACGACAAATACAAATATATGGCTACACTATCGGGGAGTATCCAATGCTATAAGCTGAACGTTTACGGAATCATGTGGGTGGAAGCCATGTTATTTGCTATAAGAGAAATCAATGGACGGAAAGACATTCTACCGGGGATAAAACTTGGATACGACATCAGAGATACGGCGAATAACGTTGATAACGCTATCAATTACTCCTTAGATTTTATACTGCCAAGGAGTTATCAATCAGCAAACTACTCCAAACGCAATCAAACAATTAAAGCTAACTGTTCCTGTGATTTAAATAACGAAAGGAAAAGAGTTTGTGCCGTTGTTGGAGGCGCAGGATCGAAGATTTCTCAAGCGATAAACTACATCCTTGGGGTCGAGAACATCCCACAGATAAGCTATTCTTCGACAAGTCCTTCTCTAAGCAATAAGATGCATTTCCCGTCATTTTTGAGGACGATTCCTCCTGATTATGTTCAAGCTCAAGTCATGGCTGATTTAGTTTCGTACTACAAGTGGTCTTACGTCTCTACCATCGCGACGGATGAAGATTACGGTCGCTTAGGAATCGAAGCGTTTAAAAAGGAAGTCAAAACCAGAAACGTTTGTATCTCGGTTGACGAGCTTTTCCATCCGGATAATAATCTACAAACTACAAAAGATAAAATAAAAAATATCGTTAAAAAGCTGAAGGAGGACAAAAAGGCAAATGTAGTTGTTTTGTTCTGCGAAGGACCGAATGCTCTAGCGGTGTTAGAAGAAGCTGAAAGACAGGGACTGTATAACAAAATCTGGATTGGCACCGAGGCCTGGGGAGACAAACCAACCATCTTACCATTCAATAGCTCTACGGTGGGGGGGATGCTGGGGGTGTTACCCTGGAAAGGAGATATTGAGGAKTTCGAAAAACATATGGGGAGGTTGACTCCGATTCATTCAGGGCATAATCCTTGGTTTAAAGATTATTGGAAGGGAGAAATTGGATGTAATCATAACGGAAGTAAGAGTGTTAATCTTACTACATGCAATAATGAAACTAACCACGGAAATGTGAATTGCAATGTGACGTCATTTCCGGTCAACGCGACATGGAAGTGTCCTGGGAACGAGTTACCAACGGCTGCAAGGATTCAGCTGAATAAAGCACCAAACGTCATGGACAGCGTGTATGCGATAGCCTGGGCGCTACACAAGATGTTGAATTGTACTTCCGGTCCCGCGGGGTCGTGTTCGGGTCAAAAGTCAAAGGTCATTCCGCGGGATTTGCTTTCGTATATCAGTAAGACAAATTTCACGGGTACTTTGGGTTATCCTGTTAAGTTTGACGAACATGGCGACACTAAGGGTGAGTAGGTGTAAACGACAATCATCCGCCATGTTGGAGGACTATCGTGGAAAAWTTCACACCTTAAACACACATTGCAGTCTCTAATAAATACGATATGTCATCCAACATGGCTGACTAAAATCACGTGATATATATAAGTAGAGTAAGGATTAATTCGTTAGAGTGAAATACATGTATTAACCAACATGGCGGCCAAGTGAATGTTATGATAATCAAGGGACTGACACGTGGTCTGTGTTAATGCTCTTTTCACGATGTGTCATTTCTTTTCTGTTTTTTCAGTATCTCGCACAATTTTTTCATACTAGAAAAAATGAACATTTATTTTATCACATAAACTCTTCTAAATATTTAGGAAACGTTATGAGAAGCACGCATGCGCAAACGTTTCCCCCTAGTCACGGCAGAGCGGACACATGGTAGAATGACGTCACGTTTAGTTTAAATGTGTAAGATTGACATTTTTTTAGCCTGCGTTGCATCCGAACTAAAACCCTTGCTTTAGTTCGGATGCATAGTGCGCTATATTTTTAAAAGTTAAAAATTAATACATTATTAGAAAATTACTTTTATATAGTAGTTTAAAGAGTATTATTTTTGCTATTTTTTTAAATTCAAATACTTCCTAATTCTTCTGTAACTCTTTTGTCTTTTGTTTGCATTTAACTTCCGAATTCTCGATCACAAGCAATTACTCAAGAAACAGTTACTTATTTTATTTTATTTTATTTTATTTTATTTTTATGATTTAACATTAATTTTTCGTTCTCATTCACAATATCAGTAATTCAAGAAACCGATTGGTGTTTTCTAAACAAAATGAACTTGAATTTTGGCAGGCGTCAATCAATTAAATTTACTCATACCAACTGATTGACATGATTTAAAATTAGATTTTTTGTTGAAGGTCGTACCGAAGTCGTTTTGAAGTTTGTGGAGCATGTCTTCAGGACGCTCTAGAGAAATACTTTAAGATTAAAACGTTTTAAAGATAAACTTCAAATATATATTATCTCATTGACAATTAACCAATATAGCTTAAGATATATTGCAGAACACGTGCGCAGGGCGCAATTCTCTTATCTCCGGGTTAAAGCGCGCTAATAACGAAGAAAAGAAATTTGATACAAAATGAGAGCTTTTCTGTTTGTGTGTAGTGTTTGAACAGCTGGTGTTCAGAGCAACTCGTGGTTATCGCCTTAACAAGTAGAAGAAACAAAAAAACAAGCACTTTATTCAGGCTTTTTATTGTTGAAGATAAATTGCTAAAGATTATAGATACTTAAGGCGAAATGCGAAAAATTCAAAAATGTCAAACACATTTTTCTTTCAAAAAGTCAGCGATTCTAGTCTTTCAAATTGATTCATGCAAAACACTTTGCAGCATAATTTTTTAAACCTTTTATTTTGAACTATTTTCTTTTTAGAATATTATATTTTTGTTTTACGTACCTCGAAGGGATAGCAAAAAAAAGTAAAATTATGATAATAACAATAAAAATAAAAATAATGGGATTCAGTCTTGTGTAGCGCATTTCACATTGTCTCAATGCGCTTTACATTATCAACGAAGTCGTTTGTTTAAGGTTAAATAAAGTGAAAGCTTAACCGTCCAATAAAATTCATTAAGTTGCTCAGTTCTAAATCTGTAATCTTATTTTTCTTTTAACCCCCTTTTTACTCGTTTCCATTGACACGTTGATAGCAATTTCACAATTCTATTCTCATAAATCCCTATTTCCAACTTATTTGTTCTTTAGATTTCTCTATTTTTGATATTTTTTATTATTTCTATCGCGTTTGTACAGCCGTGCTCTCCTGCTCACTTGTTAAGGCAAAGTTTGTATAGGCCGATGAAGGTTATAATAAGATATTCAATATCTAGTCTTCTGAGACTCGTGGTGTTTAAATATTTGCTTTGAAAAAAACAAACAATAGAATATGAAAAGCTAAGGAAGCCGAAAAAGAAATAAAAGAAAAAAGGAAGAAACAACACACACGCAAACAAAAAATAGATTGAGTTTTTTACTTGACGTCCTTAGAACTATCTAACAAAGACACTGATTTTACTTGCCTCTAGCAAAGCTAAGGAAGCCGAAAAAGAAATAAAAGCACACACAAACAAAAAAATAGATTGAGTTTTTTAGTTGACTTCCTTAGAACTATCTAACAAAGACATTTTACTTGCCTTGAATTTTTGAAATGTAGATTGAACTTTCTTTTTTGTTAGCTATAGTCATATCAAACTTGAACGGTTTTCAGACAAACAGACCAATGTTTCACGTTTCCGCACGGAAATCAAAGGGGGTTCTATTTTTCTAAGACTTATTTATATTATGAGATTCACTTGGATAGCTACCTAGCCTACTTAAATACAAAGAAATAATACTCAATAGAATGACACATCCGTGTTCTGAAGGGTGGTCAAAAAATTCATATCGAATTCCATGTGACATTCACTAATTGGTATTCCTTTTTGAACTCAATTTTTAGGGAATTACTTGATCAAAAGTCTACAGCCCGACCCAGAATCTCTTTACGGGAAACGGTTCGTGACGATAGGAGAATGGAGCTGGCTTGAGAGCAAACTCCTTATTCACAACACTAGAACAGTATGGAGCTCCTGGAATAAAGCTGCTCCGATCTCTCGCTGCAGTGCTCCATGTACCCAGGGAGAGTACCCTGTTCAGGGGGTTACACCGTGCTGCTGGACTTGCGTCACGTGCCCTAAAGGGTACTTCAAGAATTCTACAGGTCCGGGAGAGTGCATTCCTTGCACGAAGGGCTATACTTCAGATATCACTCATTCAACATGTCTAAAACTGCCTGAGATCTTTTTACGTTGGGATGAAACGATAAGCTTAGTTATTTTGAGTTTAACTGGAGTGGGTTTGATTTTGACAGCCTTTGTTTTATATGTGTACTTGCGATTCAGCGACACCGCTGTCGTCAAAGCCTCAACTCGTGAATTCAGCTTCCTAATGCTGATCATAATTGCCTTAATGTTTGCTTCAACGACTTTGTACCTTGGGCGTCCTGTTCAAATTATTTGTCAAATCCGTCCTTTTTACTTTGGTTTTGTCGTCACATTTTGGACATCACTCATGTTGACAAAAACAAATCGACTTCTTTTAATCTTTAAGAGCAAACGAATCCCCGTTGGCGACGGAATGTTGGGAATAAGATTCCAACTCGTCTTAGCTATCATTCTTACAGTCGCCATTCTTGTGACAGCATTAGTGTGGGTCTTGTTATTCCCGCCAAAAGTGACGTATCATTACCATGACGACCGAGTCTTGGTCGACTGCGGCGACCAATCAAACAAATTGCTTATAATTATCCTGGGATATACCGCTGTATTAGCAGCAACGACGACTTTCTTCGCATATAAAGCGCGCAACTTGCCCGAGAACTTCAACGAAACTCGCTACATTAGTTTTTCAATGTTTATTTTTTGTATTATTTGGTGTACCTTTATTCTTCTTTTCTACGGCACTGATCAATCTATCAAGTACATTTTTCTTTGCTTTTCGCTTCTAATGACTGGTTTCAGTACGCTGATCTGCATGTTTTCCAGTCGCTTGAGGATTATTCTATTTCACCCAGAGAAGAACAGAACAGAAATTGTACGAGCCAGTATGTTTACGTATACTATGAGGGATCGCAATGGATCGGTTAATAACACCGCAAGGGACTTACGAAGGACTTCTGTAATTACTGTAGGGAACTTTATGTTTAACCAACAAACTTAATTAAGTCTCCTTTTTTTTGTTGTTCTATGCTACAAAAATACTACACTTTTGAATAGACCTTATTCGTATTGGAGAAATATTTTGCCATTACCGAACACGTGTCATTCCCTAGAGTATTATTTCTTTGGTTGAAGATCTTTATCTAAGAGATGCATGCAAGAATATGGATACAAGTCAAGCAAAGAATCTTATTCTCTAGGGAATGACACGTGGTCTGAAATGTGAAAAAAATATCAGTTCTTTGTTTAACGGTTGCGCACGAGAAGACACATGAATATGGATACGACTCAAACAGGGAATCTTATTTTCTGCAGGTTTGCAGAGGGAGGTTTTCGGTAAACCCAGAGAAAAACCCTCAAATCAAAGGGAAAACCAATATAGACTCTTTTCAATTGTGATGCAAAGGTGAGTGTGTGCTGACCATGCTACAGCATTCTTGATTCCTGTTTAAAAAATTGAAAGCTCCCCACCCCCCACCCCCTCCACCAAGCAGGAATTTACGTCACGTGTCTAGAGCGAAAACATGAATGGCATGGAAGGTGTATGATAGTAATTAAAACAAGTAATGTTTAAGAGAAAATTTTATTTTTCTATCTTTTTCTCGGATACTTTTAATGTTCGATTTTTCAAGAACACCGTGGGCCAAGATGGCGACGGTGACGTCACGTAAAAAAGTTGAATCACACTCAACGTCAAAAACACAAATGCCATAGATGACGTCATGTGGAATATGATCGGAAGAGCCAATCGCGGTCAGCACATTTATGTTGGTTAACGTGATTATAATAACCACACGTGCAGGTTATTTTATAAGAAACCAGAAATGATCGACCTTTTATCATGTAACAGATCTAGAGGCTTTGCAGCATCACTGCCTCGACTTTTTCGAGGATGTGATGGCTATCTTGAATCGTAAGACATTATTGGCCAACAGGAGGCAAAACAAAACCTGAAACAAAACAAAGATGCTGGAAAAAAAAAAAAAAAAAAGAAGCAAAGCTAAGGTATTTTACGACTGTGATACCACAGGTATCCCAGTAACGACGACCACACGTTATTTGAGAACATTTTTCTCACTTGTGGAACTGTTCATCTATTTTAATTAATCTCCTTTCAAATTGCCTTCTTATGAACCGTAAATGTCAATCGAAGCCATTATCGTAACAAATCTTTGCCCGGTGAATGACCCATAATGCCTTGCGATTCAAGATGGCCGCCTCATCGTCAATGTAGTCCATTGAATCTGGTGTAATCTGATTTACATGAAAAATAATTCAGTTTTCTAGGGGGAAAATACTTTTGTTTTACCTCCTGTCATGGTTGCCATCGCTTAATGGTTCAAAGGCCTCTACATCAGTTTTGCATTCAATGCATACCGTATCGGGCCGCTGTTTTTAAAGACCACATACTCCTTTCCACAGTCTTATCCTCGTTATTAAAAAAAAAAAAAAAAAAAAAAAAAAAAAAACCGTGGGATTTTAAAACATTGGTATTGTTCAAGCTGCACATTGTTTACATTAGAGCTGACGTTTGCAAATAATTTGCTCTTAAGCCAGGATAAGCCTGTGAAGATGAGTCTTTAGGTCTGCAAAATTTCACAGGAAATTCTAAGGAAGTCTAAAAATAATTATTATAGCTCGAAAGAGCATGTTAAAATTAGTAGAACTGTGAAGTTTGAAGGGAGTTAATTCAAAGAAATGAATTCTTCAAAAATCGAAAATTTGTGTAATAACATTCGTTGGTAGGCAAGACGAATACTTACCAGCAAAATTCACACTTTCCAAAAATCTTATCCTCGCCAGTTTTGAGCTTATTTCCTTCAAAATTAACTATTTTCCTCAATTTTAACATGACCTTTCCAGCTATGGTAATAATGATTCTTTTTTCACTACATAATTTACAAAATATACCTGACAATAAATGCTAAATTGATTGACTCATTAATCAAAGCAAGAGTAATGCAGATATTTTTGTCCATTATTTGATTACCCATCGCATAATATCTATCACATATCTGTACCCAAATAAAACTCGGTCATAAAAATCATTATAAAATAACTGTTATAAATCTCGCGTTCTGATTGGGAGTGCGGGATTTTAGATTTGGACTATTAGACCTTTTTACTGATACGGCGGCAATCTTGAATTATGGGATGGCGAGGAGTAATAATAATAATAATAATAATAATAATAATAATAATAATAATAATAAATCTTTATTTATCCTCACTTAATAAGATAGCACACAAGTGCTAGTTTAAGCGAGCTAAAAAATAAAAGTTTTATAGCTATGATAAAATATATATAAAAGAGAAAAAAAACAAAACAAAAAAAAAACAAAACAAAAACACACACACAATAATATAAATATAAAGATATATAAATACAAGTAAAAAATAATAATAAATATAATGTCACTGGATACTAGCAAGATCAAGTTTTGAAATTTGGTTTCTGAAAGAACTAAGCTTATTAGATTAGATTTATTAGATTAGGAGGTAAACGTAGAAAGCATAAAGTGGCGAGGTTACGTTTTCAAATAGTTTTAAGCTTTGGTGGTTGAAATATTGTTCCAACTACCAGCAAATTCAATTGTTTTTTTCCCCGATATACTTCTCATTGAAAAACGTAAAGTTATAAAAAATATACCCTAACCGGCTGTGCAGCCTATAATTTTTCCAAGATTTGCTCCCTCGGCACCCCATAATGTCTTAATTAAAACAATATAATTCAAGATGGCCGCCGTATCGGTAAAAAGGTCTTCTATTCTATCTTTTCTAGTTTTACTTTGGAATTGACTGTCATTCACTTATTATACAAGTTTGTTTGGCAGGGCAACTAAAGTAAAATCACTCTAACATAAAGAGGTACTCTTTCCACAAGATATGTTACATATAAGTCAAGTATTATCTGACGCCAAGATGGCTGCCATAAAGATTGATCGTACAAACAAACGCAACTTGAAATCTTAAAGGGGCACTTGGATGAAAATGGATAAAAATTGGAAATGACTTTAAACTTAGTTAAACGTATCTATATGGCCCCAATAGTAGCCAAGCAACATATTTTCTTCACAGTAAAATGTGTCGCATAAAAATTATCAATTTTATTCAGCATCTAAATTGTGAGTACATGACGTCTTTTACCCAACCCTATTGTTCTTTTCTCTTTTAACCCAAAATTTCTCAAATGCAAATGGATCCCAGGCAATCATAATCGAGCCAAATTATCCACAAATTCTTCAATTATTCGGACTTTGAAAATTGGGGCGTTTTCATCCAAGTGCCCCTATAAAATTTCACAGATGTGATCCATGTAGCCTGCCTTAGCTTTGTCGTTTCTAGTCGCCCTAGAAACAAAAGGCGACTACAAGTGCAAACTGACAAGACTTCTTTAACTTCTCTCATATTTTTTCGAGAATCACGTAATTTGATAAACCTATTTTATTTAATAAATAATAGAACATTTTTTGTTGGTAGCAAATGAAATTTTTAAATATTAAAGTTGATCAAAGTAACGCATCTTTGTTAAATTGAATTTGAAATAAATATCCAAAATAATGATTTTTAGTTGATTTCATGTCGATTGATGTTATTATGAAAAGCTTTCAAAGCTGAAAAAAGTTCTTCTCGTCATTTTGTGATTGGTGGAAAACGTACCATGACTTACCGTAACCGTGACGGTGCGTGTATCAGGATTCTGATTGGGTGATCACAAATCTCGCGCAATGTGATTGGTTGAACCGTGCCATACCATGATTGTGACGGATTTTTATATTTAAATAGGTGCGCATAGCAGTACGGATCTTATCACATTGCAGTCCACGTGTGATTACCTAAGGAACCTTTTGATCTAAAGTCTCTTGCAGTTGGTGCGCCGTTTTCAGTGATGCTAACGCAATTCCATTTGGAACCTCGTTTGTTGGGCAAATGTTCAAATTCACGTCCTTTTTCAACGCGAAGTTCGTAGAAACGTTCACCTCATCCTGCGCATGCGTCGATTCTTCTTCTAGATCCACTTCTTTTATTGGTCCGACTAAGCAAGAGGAGGAGAATCTGGGCACGTTTGGTTCTCCTTTATAGTTAGTGCTTGAAGCGAAGGGTAGATCAGTTTCGTGGTACGCTGGTAAGGTCGCCAGTGTATGTCGACGCTCACACGCTCTTGAAGGCTTGGGAATTGTTATATTCATGCCAGACGCGACATCAATCGAATACTTCCTTGTTCCAGCAAGGGCTGCCATTTTTGTATTCTTCTCTGGACGAAAGAATATAACGCGAATTTTTGGAATGAAAATAAAAAACAAAACCGCAAAGGCGCCGATGATGACGCCATAGCTGGGAATAGCAGTCTTCAAGTTCCCGTATGTGATGCCATAGTAACCAAGAAAGTATATGATCCAAGATATCATGTAAGTAAGCATAGTAAAACAAATATATTTTGCTTCGGAGTAAGTTTCTGGGAGATTTCTTGATTTCATGGCGAACGAAGCACAGAGAATAGCTAGGAGGCAGTTATAGCTGAATGACGCAATCTCTAGGGCGAGATTACGTGTACAATGAAGAGAAACCTTTCCCTCTTGTTGATAGATGATGAGGGTTTCTGGTGGAAAAAATATGAGGTAAATAGCACCAAATACAATTTGTACCAGCACGATGGAACACGCTACAAAACTGTACCAATAGTTACTGAGAAAACGGTTTCGTTTTAACGCGGAGAAGATGCGAATGAGACGTTTTGTCTTGGTAAGGAGAAGAGCACTGACCGAAGTATAAAGCAATGGAATACAAACTGTTCTGACCTTGCATGTCCAGTCTTTAGGACGACCGAGGAACAAAACGGGCGACAAAAACCAGAGCAGTAATAAAACAAGAGTAAATAGACAGAATCCCATGTTGGAGGCGCGAACGACGGGCGTGTCTTGATATTTGAGGAAGATAGCGAGGACTGCTCCTGTAACGATCATCCCTACTGCGCAAGCACATAATATACTTATACCAAACGGATCGATCGCTTTGAGGTACTCCTGTTCCGACACGACACAACGCGTTTGAAGACTATCGGGTATTTTACCATCCGGGCATTGTTTACAAACCGGGGAGGTGTAATTATCCGTGTACGTACCTATAGGACATCGAAGGCATTCCCAAATGCATGCTATTGGGCCCTTCTTGATATAGTACCCAGGATAGCACGGCTCAATGTTCCCGGAGAATGGAACCCAATGTTTGTAATTCCCAGGCCATCGAATTTTTTCTTTCTGTAGAAAGAGTCTTCCTTCTTGAGAATGGTTTTTGCTCCATCTTCCAACGGATTCAAAAATAATCTCCCCAGATAATTGTCTTTGCAAGTTTATAATTTGCAATTCTAAAGTTTCAGTGTCCTTGACAATAATATTTGGTAAAACTCTCTTTATCTCGTTTCGTATTCGCGTAACATTGACATTCGAAAAATCCTTATTATTACGAGTATTTTCTGGTCGATAAACGACATTTTCCAGAGCATTTGCTATCGCATTAAGAACTTTCAAAGCGTTACTCATAATTCCAGGTGAAAAGCCCTCAACATCGATAAGTTTTGAATTTGTTTCACAACTAGAAATGGTTTTACTCGGATAGAATTGCTTTATCCAATCGCTATAACTTGTTTTTCGAAGACCTTGTCGTAAATGTGAAGAAATTCCCAATCCGTTTCCAGAATAAGCAGTTCCCAACATCCCGTCTAGAATATCACTATATTCTCTTGTAATACTCCTATTAGTCATCCAAGCTTCGGTTCCAATCCACACATGCGCAGTAAGGTTTTGTTTTCGCGCTTCTTCGAGTACTTTTATGGCCGTGTCCGATGTCGTAAGTAAAACTGTCACACGTACTTGATGTTTTGATCGTATCAAAGATATAGTTTCTCGAGTTGGTGCAGGCGCAGTCATGCCTAGAATGCGTTGGGTGGAAATACAAATGTTTTTTGCCCGTAGATTTTGGTCCAAGAGTGTTGTCATTTCACGACCATATACGTCGTTAGATCCAATTATATTCACGCTTGTCCATCCAAATGACTCTATAAGCAATGAAAGTGCTTCTGCAGTGTCAGTCAGAGAAGGTGCAATACTATTAAGGAGGCTGTACATAGCTTTGTTGCTTAGCAACCGAGTCTTTCCGGTTAACATAACCTAAAATAGAAATAATTTTATTAATAACAAGAAGTCAATTTTATTCATAAATGATAATGGGAGGGGGGGGGGGGGGGGGGGGGGGGGGGGCTTTGGATAATTTTAGGAGTGGCTATTTATAAGAGGTGAGAATTGGCTCGAAGAACAATGTAGTCGTTATTATTGTTGCAATAAATGTGAAAATTTTGATTTCACACTGTGAGATTCAGGATACAAGTAATTGGGTGTCCTGTGTTTATTTCGGACTTCTATACAGCGGGGAATGGGATAAATTTCCTATTGAGATTTTCCAAACAATCCTCCTATAACTCTACAGTTTCAACAACGCACATTAAAAACAAAATTTTCTCTTAATAGTTTTTTTCTTCTCATATTTATAAACCAACATGGCAAACCACATGGCGTTGATTAGAAAAGTGAAGTGAATGAGAAGAATACTTATACGCTGTGTAAAAAAAGAGCTTAATTGTGGCTGTACTCAGTGCCGTTTCGGACTATAGTCCTTCGTCGGAAAAAAATTATGTCCATTTGCAACAAAAAAAAAACAAACAAAAAAAAAAAAAAAAAAAAAAAACCAAAAAAACAAAAAAAAAAACCAAAAGAAAAAAACAAAGAAAACCAAAAAAAAAAAAACTAAAACATTCAAAATACAATAAGCAAGTTTACTTATTTTTTTGTTGCTCAGGGTGAGCATCGATCTTTTAATAGCATATTTATGTGTTTCGGGGAAGGTCTGTTTACTACTAGGAAATACTTGATTATGAATGATTATGTGGTTTAAAGGAAGTCTGTGAACATGTTTGTGGTAATTGATGAAAAACATCATTAAAATAACGATTAAAAAATCTAATCAATTAGTGGGCTTTGCTGACGATATTAAAAGGAAATAACCGGGAGAAAATCTAAAATTTGAATTGTCAAAGTTTGTTTGAAGGCTCTTTATAATGTCAACACTTGTTAGTTTATTAATCATGAGTGTTGGAATAATAAGAACGTTAAAGAGGAAGCTTTAAACTAAACGAAAAGAAATAAATGAATGAAGAAAGCGTCAGCGTTTGGAAGGGTGTCAGACATTATTTCGTTCTGTGTGAGAACGAACAAGCAAGTAGTTCGACAAAGAAGCAAATAAGGAAATGTGCAGACCAGTAAAAACAGTAAAAACAATCAATCAAATCAAAAGAAAACAAATGATTTAGTCGTAAATTTATTTCAAACATAAACAGAAAAAAAAAGAACAAAAACTTAAAAGAAACGATGGATACATGATCCGATGAACCCATCGAAAACTCTGATTCATTCATTTCCTCGCTAAGACAAACAAAAAAAGAAAAAGAAAGAGTGTCTTACTATAAAAAATAAAGCTTGCTAAAAATATGACCCCGCAATGTGGGGATTGTCTTGTCTAGTCAATTAAAAACCAAGTTTGAAAACAGTGTTAAACCCTCTGGCAGTTTTCATTTTCTTTTGATTTTCTTTTCATTTAAAACCATTTATTTTCCTCCTCTTTCCTTAGTTTTCTTCGCATTGCCCCATTTACTCTTTCTAAATCTATACCTGTTACTTGGTCCTAACTGTTTTTTAGCTTTTCAGTTATTTGTTATTAGGGTCAGTATCTTTATTCTTTTGAATTATTATTTTTTGTAAATATTATCGTAATAGTTGTTATTCTAGGTACCCATAAAGTGTTGTTCTTTCTTTCTTTCTTTCTTTCTTTCTTTCTTCCTCTCTCCATCCCTTTCTTTCCTCTCTTTTTTTCACTCTTCCTTTCTTTTCTCTTACTGCTTTTCATATATAAAGACGAAGTCTGCAAACGTAAGCCGGTTCCAAGGTTATTACTCCTTAGCATCAGCTATTATGGATAATATTCTTTCATTCTTAATGAGCTCTTGAATTACAGGCTATTTGAATGCTTTAAATTCAAGATACTAATTGTCTCTAGTATTTTCACAGAGGGAGCCCAATTTAGATTAAAGAAATCTTCGAGGAATAGCCAAAAGGGTTTTAAAAAATTGAATCCCCCATCGTAGGGATCATTTTGATCAAGTTTTTTTGTGGACTTATGATGACGACTGTGACACCCTATGCCCTTGTAAGAGTATATATACACATAAGAGCGAATAAGCGACATTAGATACCATAGGGGAATGTATAGGAAAACCAAGGCGCGCGATTTTTTTACTCTTTCGTATTACGGAGGACATTACCTTCACCTCAAATTTAAAAAATAATAAGTCATTCAATTTTCCGATTTTATTTTCACCATTCACTTTAATCTAATTTGGGCTCCCTGTGTTTGACCTCGATCGACTATTTTTATTTACTTTTTGTATTAAAATTGCTGATAGAAAGTGCGACATCAGAACAGAGAAAACAAAGGAACAAACATGGTTTGGCATATGAAATGTGAATGAAAATAAAAGGCAATGAAAAATCAAAACAGTAAGAAAGAAAAAAGATAGAAATAAAAAAGAAATGGAAATGGAATTGAATAATTTAAACGAACATATATAAAATCGCGTAATCTTAATCTCTTTGATCTTCAATCACGATTTTTTAAAAAATCCTATTTTTACTCTTGAACATGAACCATACCTGAGTAAACAGTAAACAATGTTTTGTCTTATTCCGGTTTTAAGTATACTAAAATTGTCCCCTTTTAAAATCAAGTAATTTTTTTTACGAGACATTAAAACGTTGATAAAACCACTACTTGACCTAAATGCATGATGATTAAGCTAAATGAAAGTTCTTTCTAATATGCGGAAAGAGTACATTTGGCTCAGCTGTCTGATCATGATACGACAGATAAGAAACTCTTAGTTTTCGATAAACTTTTTATTCAAAATGCAATCGAAATAATTTTCGATTCTAAACCGAGAGAACAAAGCTTACTTCGGTATTCAAAGTAAAGAAGACAAGCTAAAGAAAAAGTAAAAAAAAAGAAAAATACAATGGACCAAAGTTAATAAGCTTAAGTTCTTTCGTTTCACAACCGGCTCAGGCTTTTAAAAATATTTAGAATAAAAGCAGAAATATAAGTAAAACTATAAAACCTTAAAATCTCTTTAAAAAACAGTTATTGCCTTACCTGTGGGTATTGATAAAAGCTCAAAGTTCCGGCAGACAAAATAATGTTTTCCAATATTAATGGCCCAAGGACAGCAAAGATTTCATTCCCACATTCACACCGAGCTTCTCCAACACAACTCGAATCATTCTGTTTTTTGAAAACCAAGTTTGAGGCTTCTTTCACGGCCACTTTCGGATTTGAACACGTGTCTCTCATCTCGTAGCCAATAGTCAAATTTAGATGATGTTTCTGGTTTATGTTTAGCTTTTGGATCCCGTAGATGATCGTCTCTACAAGTTGAACGCTTTCGTGACTGACAGTTGCACAATCCTCTCCTTTAGTTAAGGGTAATAACACTCCGATTATAAACTGCCCAGATTTGTAGCTCATCCTTGCCTTGATTGATTCAATATTTCCACAAAGAAATACAAAAATTATCAAAGCTATTTTACAAGTCATTTTTTTTGTAGAATAAGGGCTAAAGTTTACGAGGATCGATGGCCAACTCCCAGACTCTTTGACTGGGATATTTTGTTTCTTCGACAAAGCGACAATGGATATCCAGCCTTTGATTTGCTCAAAGATAATCTATCGTAAGCTTTCTATCTTGCTATCTTAATGATATCAGCTGAGTTTCCTCTGCTTTCTTTAATCTTCACTTAATAATCTATAGACAAAAAGAAGATATTTTTAGTCGTTTTCAATGCAGTGTGTCATTAACTGAAGACTTCTTTTCAAACACAGAACCAGCCGTGCACCCAGCTTCATTTCACTCCGGTAATCTGTAGGAGCTCTACTGAACTTTGTGACTTAAAATGAGCCATTTAATATTCCATTCAATAAAAACTATTAAGAAAAGCTGCTTATTATATTTTGAAGTTCTTTCCTAACAATTTGTAGAAAATCTTTTCGTCAATTTACTTTATTTTAGTAAAAACTGTGATGTAGAAATAAGCTAAATATCAGCTGGCTTTATACTTACGCAATAGCTGGGCCTTGGAACCTTTGTCGAGCCTTCCCTGGTAAAATCAATGTCAACATTAGATAAAAAGAAATATGTTTGCATGTAAGGCGCTTACGAAGCCAAATTCTGAACCCTCTCTCGAGCTTGCTTCAACATGGTATGAATTAGTTTAAGGAAAATATATATAGCAAGTAGAGACAGGTGCAGTAACATTCTCCCCAGAGGAGGGGTGACAGTCGTAGAATAAATGGCAGCTAAAATCAATTTATTGTTATGGCAACCGTTAAATGATGTCGTTGCTAAGGGAAATAGTGTTATTTACAATTATTTACCCAAAGAAATGGGTTTAAAGACGATTAAAGAATTAATCTTCAATTGATCTAAACCTTAAAGCACGTTTGGTGACACAGCGATTTCACAAGTTTCTAAAAAAAATGTCTACGATTGCTATTTGTTAATTATTGAATCAAAAGAATTAGAATAACATATTCAATCATGTTGAAACGTTATTTTTTTCGGCATTAATTTACCAGAACTGCTCTGTTAAGACGCAACAGGAATACACTTCCATTTTAAAGAATACTTAGAATTCCTCATTTTAATAGTCAATTGAGCTTTTACCAGTTATAAGAAACCTTTTAAGCTAAATGGTCATTCTGCTCAATTTTGGTCATTCTGCTCAATTTTAGTCATTCTGCTCAATTTTAAATCAAAACGAAAACACTACCCTATAATATGGAAAATTATAGCACCGTCAGATAAAAAATAATATTCGATTAACGATAATGCACACCTGAATTTGGACGACTGAAGGTCTTCACTGATATTGCTTAAAATACTCCAGTGATATTCTAAGCTCACAAAAAACGAGCGACAAGAATAATCTGACGAATATTAATTCAACATATCAATAAAGGTTTCGGTCATTTATAAAAAAAAAATGCTTGAAAGGCCATCCCAAGTGCCTTTGCGAGCTTATTGTTTTTCAACCGGTTTTGCTGCTAACTAATGGTAATACTAAGGTGTTGCTTTAGCATTTGATCGACAGGTTCGAGTACCTAATTTGGCAGTTTTAGGATCTGTACTGAACCTGAAAGTTCCCCATTATTTTGACGAGAGAAAATAGATATCGCTAAAAGGTGACATACACTCTCCTTAATTTAACTACTGGTACAACTGATTGTTTTTAAATTTCGAAAATATTGATTTCAGCTGTTTAAATAGAAAATGTTCAGTATCTCCATCACTCGCAATGCGTGATGAGATAACCCTACTGGTTCCTCTTCTGATATTTTACTTTTAAATTGGAATATGAGGCATGAACTTTGAGTTAGAAATGTGAATTTTTCATAGACAACGTTTCTGCAATTTATAGTTTAATGAGGAAAAATAAATGCATGGTTTATATTTAGCATTTTCCAAATCAAGTTCGGAAATACAAAACTCTGTGGGAAGAAACAAAAGTGGATCAATAATGATGAAAAGGTAAATTATACACCGTGAAAAGATGAAAAAATGAAAAAACTTACTGACGTTTCAATAAACAACACACATGAGCCGCGAAAATTAAACGAGCTAGGGAATTGAGCTGGGGAGCACTCAGGGTTCTGACTGCTATGCGCCATGTAGACTCAATTTTCGAATTATAGCTTAAGATGAAAGCCGTCAGTACGATATTAATTCTACGGTCACTATTTAAATAGTTTTTACAGAATTTCAAAATAAGTGAGAGCTTTCCACTGATAAATTAGTTTTGAATGTGTTAACACAAAAATTATGAATTTTTGAAAAAACAAATTTGCCCATGGCATTTGCATCGTTTTGATGTTTCCTGCCATTCACGGGTTCCTGTGAATTGAAAGCCATGTATTAATATTATTTTGCCATCCGAATTGCTATATAATTAGCACCATGAAGTCTCACTTTTGTTAATTTTAATTAGAATTTGGACTATAATTTTGCCCTATAGCTGAATTGATGGCTCTGATATATTTTCAGCTGGTTTTCTGCCATAAACTAGTGTAAACGTATTCTACAATATATGCGGTAGTTATTACTAATTTTGCTTTTTTATAGCTTCTCTAAAAATACAATTTCCCCCCAGCTTGTATTGTTGCTGTTTTTTCCCCTCCCACGCGACCATACTCCTTACGTTAAAATAAAATATTGTATTCATGTAACGATATAGTGTTATAGGACCATTACATAATAAATTAGTGATAGATAAATAATTCATAATAATTATTAAATCTATAACAATTATTAAATAATGAAATAATGATTTCGAAGCTTTTGTAGCATGGTACTTTATGTATAGATTATATGGTTACCAAAGGATTAAATGATGTATACTGTCACGTACACCTATTTCCAAAAAAGACAGCAACCTCGTAGTGATCTGAAATCTGAGACGAACACGCTAAAAATTTTAATGTTTTTACAGCCGAAGAAAAACGTAGTTCTTATTTTTAGATTGGAATATTAAGTCGTTTCTGTCGACAATGAGACTTTATTCTAAATGCCGACGTCATCATCATCGTCATCGTCATCATCATCTCCTCTTCACAAGTGACGATAAATTTTTACGAGGTAACTAAACTACCAAGGTTCATATTGTCAACAATGGTCGTAAGATATTCATTGATAACGGATTTTGTTTTTAGCATTCGAGAGTCTTATCATGTTGAGTACGTGCTCATAGCTGATGTGAAATAGTGACGTAGAAATAACGTCACGGCAAAACTGAGGCGTCATGAAAGCGAAAATTTTTATAATTTTTCTCGATTCCGATTGGCTAGACAATTTTTTCCCCAGATCAGCTGGTTCGCATGGTTAAGCGGATATCTTTGAGCTGAGGGTTCTTTGGCCTGGTAAGAACGAAACGTATATTACTAGCTTGGATAGTTTCCATTGACTATAGTATTTTCTACTTGAGTCCCGAGTTTAGGGGAAGATAAAACTTCGTGATTTGACGATGATGCGCATGCGTAATCGAGTCCAGTGCATTTTCATTTCCTGGCACAACACACACACACAAAAAAAAAAAAAAAAAAACAAAAAAAAAAAAAAAAAAAAAAAAGAAGAAGAAGAAATGCAAACTAGAGCTGCCGCACGTTTTCTTTTGCACATCGGTAACGAAGCACCACAAACTAGCTACCTCACGTTTACTGGCAAAAAAAAAAAAAAAAAGTATCCTCACTTCTGTACGTGTAATAAAGCACCACAAACTAGATACCTCACGTTTACTGGGAAAAAAGCCAGACGATCTCTCCTCACCTATGCACTTACGACAAAACATTACTAGCTACCTATATATAGTCACGTTTCGTTATTTGCTCTAGGTAAAAATCAGTACAACGTTAAGAGTACGTCAGACACTATGAATATAAATGCTTTAAATCTCACGTAAACAACTATATCTTATTTCTGGCGCCAGCGTTCGGATCCTTCAACTAGAATTAGATTCCCCCCAAGGAATCTGATTTAACAGCAGCTGCACAAAAAATGATATATTTAGTGACATCGTACAAGAAACATTAAATATATAAAAATGCATATGTTGTTCTATTTAAGGCTATAAAGATAAACATGAATTCCAAAGATATTATAATTATTACAATTGAATTATCAACAACAACAACAACATGACATATTACGAGGAAAATCATAACACTTTATCGACTTTACTTTGGTATATAAATGACATTTCCAATTAAGCAATCGTTCACTTAAGCTAACTACGAATGACATCAAACAAAGAAGTGTTGAAAATGTATTTTTCATCATGTAGTTGTTCTTATTTTCTCACCAGTTAAAGAATTAATTAAAAAGAAATGTGGTGAATAATGCCACCGGATTTTTGCCTTCTAAAGCGCCAACAAACTCAACTTGAATGGCCTTCAGGGCCCGGTTGTACGAAGAGTGGATAGTACTATTGGAAGGATAAATCTTATCCAGTGGACAAATTTATTGGATAACAGCATCGACTTATCCACTGAATAATTTAGAGGTTATTACATGGGCGCGCGGAGATACGAAATTCAGTATCTTCAAACGAAAAGGTAAATTTCGAATCTCCAAGCCCCCATAAAATCATCTTAATAAGCTTTTTATTATTACAAAAATGTTTTTATTCATAAACTAATAGCTTAAATAAACATGGTAACGATATTTTTACATGTGAAAATATCAGTCAGTTTTCGAGAAGGAGAAATATAGGGATTTTATGGATAATTATATGATAAAAAGATTTATTCGTTGGATAGCGCTATCCTTCGTACAAATTATATTTTGGCCGCTCTACGTGGACAACGTAGTTGTTAAGACGTACAAACTCATTTATAAAATTTCATGGCTCTAATATTTGCTAATTTTTTTTACATATTTTTGCATATTTCCTTTATTTTTAAAATAACTGTAGATAACATTTGCAGCTAA